CGCACACACACACACACACACACACACACACACACACGTAAGGGACCACTACAGTTTTCACTATTCTAATAGTATGTTGGAGACTGTGTAACAAAAAATATTGAGAGGTTAGGTGAGTGAGTTGATGTCATTGTAAGGAAGGGTCATCGTTGTTTACAATGTGAACAGATTTTACACATGTCGTTTCATTTACGCTGCCAAGACAGGGTGAAAGGGGGCCAACTTTCTGTACAATTGAACCTGTTTTTTGACAATCACTCACGTGATTTTCTGTTGTATGGGTTAAAAACCTACTCAGGGGAATTCACGCTTCCTACACTAATGCATGAGCGGATTGACGGTGCCAGGGGTATTTATTGCGGGCACATTAAGCGATTTTTAGCAATGCCTCCAAGAAGTCGTCTGAGCGACATCGACAGGGGACGAGCCCCAGCCTGGCTCCACGAAGGGATTGCTGTCCGTGAAGTAGCAAGACGGCTAGCTGTGAGTCACTCAGTGATCATCAAACTGAGAGACTAGGATGTTGCAACTGGAACTGCTGTTGAGCGAAGGTGGACCACACGACGAGAGGACCGGACGATCGCCAGAACAGCCCTGGCAACTCGAACCTGCATTGCCCGTCACATCAGACAGCAGGTGGTACCCGCAGGCAACGTTAGAATAAGCGACCAGACCATTAGAAACCAGCTGCGTCAGATTGGTCTACGCTCCAGACGACCAGCAGTCCGGGTTCCACTGATACAAGCCAACCACATTGCCCGCAGTACCTGGCCCGCCCGCAGTGGTCTACAGTGCTCTTCACGGATGAGTCCAGGTTCAAATTGTCCTTCAACGATGGTAGGATCCGTGTTTGGAGGTGTCCTGGTGAGCGACTGTGTACAGGAGCATGACCGGTATGGAGGAGGCTCTGTTATAGTGTGGGGTGGGATTGGACTCAACAAAAGGAGCCCGCTGCATCGCATTCAAGGCACTCTGACATGTATCCGCTACAGGAATGAGATTCTCCACCCCATTGCAATTCCAGCTCTTCAGGCAATGGGCCAGGGCGCGATACTCTAGGACGACAACGCCAGACCTCACCGCGCTCGAGTGGTGGATGACTTCATGCAGTAGCAGCACTTGATCAGGCTTGAATGGCCTGCCCGATCACCGGACCTTAGTCCCATTGCATTTTTATGGAATGCTCTTGGGAACCGAGTAAGAGACCATCAGCCACCCGAAGCAATGTGGAAGAGCTCTTTAACATTTTGGATCAAGAATGGCAATCCATTCCATAACTGACATTGCGAACACTTATTCAGTCCATGAGACAAAGATGCAATGATTGTTTTCTTGCAAATGGTGGTCATATGCGATGTTGAGCCCTAATTGTTTATGACAGTTGTATGTTTATAAAATCAACAACAAGTTCTTTGGGTTTTTTCCCATTTAAAAGCAGCTTATGATTTTCACCCAAAATTGACTTTAACAAATCAGGCTTGACAAAATTGTGCGAAATCAAAGAAACGTAAAAGTGTGTGCGCATATATATTAAGGTACATCAATAATGGTGGAATGGACATAGAATCTATTACATTTTGGACATGATTACCTGTCATTTTACCTCAAATGTCAAAGAGAGTTGCAAACGATGGGTCTGAATTGGGAGCAAAGTCGCTTTTCAGTTGCTGTTTCATAGGACTTTACATACCTGAAGGATTCATATTGGGATATCGGGGCTATTTACTGGTGGCCACCACAACATTGATATGAGTTGGCTTTCCAAGAATTGTCTGAGGGCATTAGCCCTCTGAGAAATTGCTTTGCTATGCATGGAACTGTCTACTTGAATGATACAATAACGAAAATAACGGTAAGACGTGACGTTCTAGCACTTGCTCGATGTAATCCACTAAACCAAGCCATCCGGTGATTCTCAAGGGGGTCGTTTTGTTCATTCCACCCTAGACCACCCAAAACCATGGCACTTTCGTGGCCTCTGTTCCTCACTGACATTTATTTTCAAAATCTAACACAGGCTTTGTGCTCTACACGAAATCAATAGCTTGTAAACAAAAACCAAATTATGCACAGGTTTTTTTTGTGTGGTATTTGGGACTGCTCTGTTTTCCTATCAGTTTAAAAATGTCACTAGAAGATGCCGTTCATTGCGGAGGTGATAGTATATTTCTTATCATTTGAAATTCAATACATGTCCATTCCTCCAACGTGAACCATGAATGTTGATGCACCTCAAACATACGCGCGAACTCTCTTGTACTTTTCTTTGATTTTGAAAACTTTTTCCTAGCCTGATTTTTTAAAGCTCAATTTTGAGTGGCCATATCTTAGCGTCTCTTAACATAGCTGAAGTATTAATGTGTCAGATGATGGAAACATTTATTAAGCTTTAAATTTGTATTCTGCATGAGTGTGTAGTGTAAGGCTATAACACGATTGGGTTTTTTTGTGATAACATTTTCAAGTTCTTTTGGAGCAGCAATATAAACAATAACAATCTTAATCTAGATACATACTCAATTTTATTTGTATGCATGCTCTAATGTCATATGAATACTTATACAAGGTGGTTAAGATGGAAGAATTTTGATGGTTGATGGTAAAATGACCTTCTTTGTCTTCTTTTGTTACAGATCAGAAGCCTATGTCTTTTACTTCTGAATTAAAAAAAACTTTTTTTAGGGAATAAGGGATGTTTGTTGTCTAAAAAGATGGAATTATTTTTTTAGTGCAAGCTGTTATGTACAATTCATCCAAGTAAGAAATGTTGAAATTTTACAAGCTTTCCGTATTAGTCGATTTAATTTTTCTTTATCTTGTTTTGTGTTTCCGGCCCATGCTGTTATACATAAATTGATCATACTTTCTAAGGTAGAATGATAGAGTACAGGCATCAATGTTCTATCAACTTTAAAATACATGAGCTCACTTTTTTATGCAGGAGAGAAGTGTGGACACGCCTGTTGATTTTGTTGTCTATTGTAACACCCAAATACTTATAATCTGACACTTGCTCGATGTTTTCACATTAAATTTCGAGTGGCTTCAGGGGCAGTTTCTTTTTTCTTAAATCAAAAAGTTCTTTGGGTTTTTTCCCGTTTAGAAGCAGCTTATGATTTTCACGCCATTCAAAAGACTTGAGTACAAAATTCCGGTAAGCATTTTCGTTATGGTCAGCCGGAATTAACCCAGTTGAATCATCCGCTATTTGTATCAACTTGATGTTACTGTTGTTTATTTGGCAATCGTTCGTGTATTGTGTGAATAAAACTGGTGACAAAATACCTCCTTGAGAAGCCCCTGTATTTGTTGTGATGTATGTCGATAAGGAATGTTTTAATTTTACATACTGGGTTCAGTTGGTAAAAAAAATTCCTATCCATGTTATTAAATTGACCTTAACTCCTATGTTTTTTAAAATTTCTTTAAAAGGATAGCTGGCTGGATAGTATTAAAAGCTGGCGAAAATCTAACAAACAGGATCCTATAATATAAATATACATATATAATACGCTAGTATGTTACCAACTTAAGAGTCGGTGCTGAGCCTCGACTGAATTTGACAGACAGTGGGTTCATAGTTCACCTCTTGTAGTCTCCGACAGTATAGCCAGGCGAAAAATAATAATTATACACCAGTTGCATTCCCTCTCTCCTCAGCTGTATCTCAACATCAAAAACAAATTCGGCATGAGGTCCAGTTTCATGGACTACCCAGAACTTATGCACAAAAACTTCAAGGAATTAGCGAAATCTCCAGAGTTTTTGGAGGTTTCAGTAGACGACGTAAGGGATCGATTTAGGCTTGGAATAACAGATTTCAGTTGTTGGTTGTTTTATTTTTCTCATTCCTGTTTTTACTAAAGTGAAACTTTGTTTGAAGTCTTTTTTTTGTTCGGAGAATTCTCCTCCTCCTCCTCCTCCTCCTCCTCCTCCTCCTTCTTCTTCTTCTTCTTCTTCTTCTAATCTTTCCTGCTCTTTCTCACTCCCTCACTCCTCATCCCCCACCCCCACACTCTCTCACTTCCTCAACCCCTCGTTCTTCCTCCCTTCCTCCGTAAAGCTATACCCCCCTCCCCCCACGTCTCTAATTTGTTTTCGTTGTCCCTCACGAGTTCCTATAGTGAGCTCCAGAGTGGATTGATACGTTCAAGTGCGAGGTCTAGGATATTATAATACAAGTCTCAGCATAACACCAACTCACCCATTTAGGGCTGTTTGTTGTTGTTGTTGTTTTTTACACCTACTGCCCCTTTTAGGTTTTTCTTTATTTTACACAAACGGGCCTCCGTTTAGGGGAGGAGGTCTTTTTTAAAATAAATTTTCTATTTTTGTTTTACACAAACTGGCCCATGGAGGGTTGTTTGTTGTTTGTTTGTTTTTTACTCGAACTAGCTCACACAGGGTTGTTGTTTCCATTGCG